ATGTTGAATTTTAACACGTTAGTGTTTTGATTGTAGGCGGTAGTGTTGAACACTTGTACATAAACACATTCGTGTTTGGTGTTTTCTTTTACAACACATGTCAGAGAGCACGGGGAGAGATAATTAAATAAAGTCATGAATGAAATAAGAATGTTAAGAGAAATATAAATATTCATGTTACTTGCCATTTAATTGTGTAACATTTCATTAAACTAGTTTTCCTTCCAGATCTCTGGAAGGAACCAGATTTCAACTAAAAGCTCCTGTTTAGATGCAGTACAGATGAAAGAAAAGTAATTGTCCATGGAGTTGATAATGTAAAAACAAATTTTTTTTTTAAATTTCTAGTTTCTAGTGAGAAATGTTTGTAAAAGATTGGCCTCGCGTTAGATTCTAGAGCTAAAAGTTTTCAACAAGGTCGTTTTAGACCTCAGTTTCAAACTAATTAACTCTGGCGGGAAGTATGTAAGGATCTTAAGTTTTACTAACGTTTATTTTATTTTAAATCTTTACTATCACTTCTTATTTTCTACTTCCGGCCAGAATTTTAAATTATTTATGCAAATTTGTCTTGCGAACGCCAAGTTGTGGCTTTTTGCCAAGCAAGAGAGAGGAAGGAGTTAGTAGAAGCAGGCCGCTTGCCTTAGCAGTTTTACTCGGTTGCTGGTTGCCTTCAAGGCCAGAGGTTTAATCCTCTTGATAATTTTAAACGTATCGTAGTGTTAACAGTTCTCTGTACTACATACGGCCTTTCTGTTATATTACGGCCAATCTTCACGTAGACTTCACGTAAAAATAAAGGGTTTCGTATACCCTTCCTGTGTATCTTGTCCACTTCCCACAGTTATTGAACATAGCTTTAGTAAGCTCCCTGTTCCGAGTCAGGTCATTGAATGTTCCCCAAGCAAGTAAGGAGGAATACTGAACCTGATAAGATAACTGGTTAATTAACATGAAATTTCACATAGCAGTACAGATTTTGAAGCTGCTGTAGATAACTGTTCATGATAAAGTGTCAATTTTAAAAGCTGATGTATATTTAGGCTTTCATTTTTAATACGAGGAAAAATCAATTACCCTTTCGTTTCATTAGGACAGAATTTTTTTTAATAAAGATGCATTAGTGAAACCTGAAAATTTGCTTATATTATATTTAACATACTACAGCTTTCAATAAATATATTTAGTTGCAGGTATGCGCTAAAGAATATAGAATCAAGTTCAATGTAATGATAGTGAAGCTTCTATTTTTACTACACTAGCTTGTGTATTTATTATTTCTATAGTTATTACACTATACGCAGTTAACATCCTAAAATAATTATTACAAAAATAATTAATGAATTTAATAAATCAAATTAGGGTAATTTCATAAAAATATTTAATATTTTAAGTAGATGCATCATAAACTGAATACATTTTTTAAAGAGTAATATCTATTTTCTCGCTCCTTTCCGCGTGCCTTCGTGGTGTAATTGGAAGTAAATCCAACGCATAATCGGGAGATCCGTCGCAACATCGAACGGTACACGGGCTTCTAGGTAAATTCCCAATCACATATGTTTCCGCTACGAGGGACTGGACGTCGAAAGGATCAATTCTCAGAACCCGCACATTTCCACGAAACCTCCATAGCTAGGTTACCATTTTTACTTACTAAACAGACTTGAACTCCAAACAGTATTATCCCTCAGGTTGGGATCACTTGATTCTTCAGAAGCAGAACTTTCGTTTGATTGGTTGATCTCTACCCGGGACAGAGCTGCAGCCGAAACATTTTCGGCGAGGTTTCAGGGATTGTAGCTAGATATAATAACCCCTTTAGAAAACAGCCCAGGAGGAACAGAGGCCAAAACCAAAGTGGCTGATAAAATTCGTGGAACGTTTTAACAAAGTGGCACAAAACCATTGTGTACTGCGCGTTCGTAACTCAATGTGCCTTCGTGGAGTGTGTTAAGGAAACTTCTACAATTATTGTCACGCTTCTTTCAGATGGTGCAGGGGGTTAAAACAAGGTAAACTAGAGGCAGAGGTTTTCACAAACAGACTGGTATTTACGGATGAAGCTTCTTTTCGTGTTTCTGAAAAAATTAATCGCCATTTACGATTTTGAGGCACGGAAAACCCACAAGGTGTTATCGAAAATGGGCGTGATTCTCCAAAAGGGAATCTTTTCTGCTCCGTTGCCAACAGTTCTAATTTAGCTCCTTTTTCCTTCGAGGCAAAATCGATTAATCTATGCATTTATCCAGATGGGCTATCAGAGTTGTTGTTCCCTCATTGGAGGAAGCAGTTCCTCTGCTCCATCCCACTGGCATAAAAACATGCGCCACACATGAATGATAGTCTGCCCCATCGCTGGATTGGTTGAGCTCGGTCAAACGATATGCTATTGCTTTGTTGGCCACCGAGATCCCCAGATCTAATCCCTTGTAATTTTTTCATATGGGATTTTGTTAAAGATAACGTGTTCGTGCCTCTATTTCCACATAACTCAACAAAGGATATTCTATCACGAGTGTGCACGAATTGGAATACAGCATAAATATTTGCCTTGTCACCAAAGAGCATACTGAGAACGTCTACAGAGACTTGAATAATTGTAGTTTGACTGTAAATTTGATTTATCAAAATAAAGTAATTACAGTTTTCTTTTTGTCCCATTCAATATGAAACAACCTGTTTATATACATACAGCCAGATTTTTTTATTATTTAATCCCAGAGATAATTGTTATGTCAGAATTTTTAATGCATTATCATCTTTTCTTTAACTGAAGTGCAGGATAAAAGTGCCTTTTGCACCATAACCAAGTTATATTTTAGTTTTTTACATCAGAAAGTTCTTTTTCTGATCCCAATGTTTGCTTTTGAAAGATTAGTATTTAACGTCTTTTTATTAAGATCGCATTATTCATATCTATGTTATTTTTATGATAGTGTTTCTTTTCCTCATCGCGAAAAAATTCCATGTGCATCTAAAACCTAAAGTTCCTTATTGCAATTAAATTTACCTTTAAGTGGTTTCTTAAGTATATTTTAAGGGTTTCGTGAAAGATACTTTTAACTATGGTGTACATTATTCTACGTGCTAATAAAGCTTGATAAATTTAATTAACAATAACTATTAACACCTAAGAAGTTTTCAAAGAAGCATTTTGGAAGAAAATTAAAACAAGGCACGTATTTGGTTGAGAGCGAAGCAGAAGAATAGAAAAGATGAAAATGGCTCAATAAGAAGAAAAAATTACGAAAAGGGAGATACTAACGCGAAGACAGAAATAATAGCAGAAAGATGTGAAAAGAAAGAATATACTAATTCAATAGGAAAGGAATACGGAAAGACATCGAGAAAAGAGATATAAATAAAAATAGTTATAAAAGAAAGAAACCGAAAGAGTAATGAAAGGATATACCGTATATTCCATCGTATAATGCGCAATGGTGTATAACGCACACCTGTAATTTCAAACTACATTTATTAATTTTTAAGCATATTCGCCGTATAACGCGCACCCTTTTCTTTACGAAGAAACCTGAAAAATACATGTGCGACTGTATCTATTGAAGTCACTCATTCGAAGATTTTTTCCCACGCGTTCGAGCAATGGTATACTGAATTGACAAGCGATAAGGGGAACGATAAGTGTGTAGGGGGAAATGCTTGAGGGAGTAAATAATTCTGCAAAGAGAGTTAATTGTATTCAGTGCAAATGTGCACAAGAATATTAGTCTAGGGTTTTGAGAAAATCTGATAGAAATTGGGGTAAGAATTTCTTCCGACCCGAAAGAAATCTCTGAATTAGAGTCAGACGTTTTCTCTTCCTGTAGTTATTTGAAGCCGTGATTTTAAAGTGAACATCCTAGGCTTTAATAAATCGAATTTGCTTTAGTTAAAATACAGTTGATCTAGTCTTCCTTTTAGTAGTTAATATGGCTCCTTCCAAACGAAACAACACAGTGCTGATTTCGAATGCAAAGTCATTCAATTTGTGAAAGAAAACATAATTCTTGCTGCAGCAAGGATGTCGATGTTGGTGAAAGATGGAACTGATGATGATTCATTCAATCAATTGAGTTCTCATTTCGTGGCAAGATGAAAATGCATGAAAGCTCAAAACAAGTTCATTAAAAATTCTAAAACACAGAAAAACCTAAAACATCTAATACAATTAAAAACAGGTTAAAACAACAATTTTTACAAGTAAAATTAAAGCTTATACACCAAAACAAGGAGTTCAGCCAACTGGCAGAAAGACCAAATTTTCGGTGTGCAAAATTGAAGTCAACTTTCAGCCGTACTGGGCAAAAGACACTGAACTTGGTGCACCAAATGCCTTAATTCCTTTTCCCACTTAAGAGTTTAAAATGTAAACCAATGGCTGCCTCTTTAGGTCTAGCGCCACTTTTAAATTGTTGATAATCCTACAACTATTGCATGCAGATTAAGCAAAGACATGAAAACCTTAACCGGAACATAAGAACAGCATAATTCAACCACTTTTAAAGCAAAAACTGCACAGTTTACCAACATATAAGATTAAAAATTCGGGGTTCCCCAATCCGGGTATTTGAAGCTCTTTCGAATCCTTTTAAAATATATTTTACAATCCGTTTTGAAAAAATGAGTCTTTTATTCTGTCCGCACGTACAGGTGTCATGCAAAAAATTATTCGAATGGATCCGAGAGCGGTCAAAATATTTTCTTTGAAATATAATTTACGCGATTACAATACTTCCTTTACTTCGTACAAGGAAGTAAACAGCTTTAAAAATATCATAAAAGTTGATGAGAGATCCGATCTCACTGCATTAATTTCTGAGAGGACATTCTTTTGAATTAGTTTTGTTTCCGCGATTCCTCTTTCAACGTTTTTGCAAAATTCACTGGAGATAATTTCAAAAAAATTCCAGTCTGTCACTTCTGAGCTTATCTAGATAGCTAACGATAATTTTAATTTAATATGTAAAAAGGAAAATGAATATCAGAAAGAAACTGACCTGTATGCGCGCTTCATTGAGTTTTGTGATTCTGGCCAGTTCTTCTCTGCAGTAGATGTCCGGATAATGTGACTTGGCGAACGCTGCTTCTAATTCCTGCAGCTGTTCTTGCGTGAAGGTTGTCCTGTGGCGACGTCTGGCTGGGGTCGGCGGGCACGTGCCCCCTGTAGCTCCCGGGGTCGACGTCGGGGGCGTAAGGCTGCTCGCCGATGTCACTAACGTCGGGCTTGTCTCGACCTTTAGCTTTTTAAAGGCACCTTCTGTTGCGGCAGTCAGCACTATAAAACGAAATAACTATTTCAGATGACTATTACTTAATATGATTATTATTTTAGATGAGTACTGTTTTCATGACTGCTATTTTTAGATGAAGAGACTATTGTTTTTAAGATTATAATTTTCCTGACTTTTATTTTTATGATTATTATTTTAGTTGACTTACTTTTGCGATAATTATTATTGTAACTTCTTCTATATTTTAAATGATAATACTCTTAATTTAAAGACTCTTATTTTAGAAGACTATTATTTAAATTTACTTACTTTTGCGACTATTAAATTATTATTTTCAATGAAAAATATTTTTGTGATTATTAATTTAATGACTATATTTTAGACGAATATTTTTTAATTTACTTACTTTTGCGACTATTAGTATTGTAACTACTACTTTAAATGAAAAATATTTTTATGATTCTTATTTTTTATGTATTATTTGAGATGACTATTATTTTAGATGATTTTTATATTGATGACTATTGTTTAAGATAACTATCCTTTTTAACTGACTGTTTGAGATGATTTTTAGACTAAATGAACTATTCGAAAACTTGGAGATCACTAAATACTTTCAACAATAAATAAATCCATTTTAACTTTGTTTAAGTTGAATATTAAATGTTTTAACTTTCACAGCTCTGAAAAATGAAATCATTATTTTCTACATTTATTTAAAGAAGCGAATAAAGCTTTAAGTTTATACATACAGAAAAAGAGCAAAAAAAGTGATTTTTAAGTGTGATTTTTTTTTAACTACGCTCGCCCCCCTCCCAGCAAATGCATGTATAAGGCAAATGCATGTAAGATGAATACGTATATCAAAATTCTAACTTAAATTTGCAATAGTCCGTTAACCCACTGTTTTAATATGGGTAATTTCTCCTTCAATCCTGAAAATAATAACTGCTTATAATAAATCACTGTAAACTGCTTTATTTCAAAATTAATCCATTCACACAATTCTTACGTAACGCTCATGACGCAAATATTTACATAAAAGGTTTCGACCAGTACTGATTTTAGAAAGCTATTATTGACCAATTAAAATAAAGCTAAACCGAAACTAAATTATTCTGAACAGATATTGCATCTTGAATTTATTCAATACCAATGTAGTTCTTCCAAAGCAGGTGCGTTTAGTGTCCCAGTTTATCTATATTGGCTTAAAAAATGTTTGTCAAATTATTCCATTATTCATTATTCTGTAAATCATATTCCACGCCCCGTTCCACGATCAAATTCTAAATTATTGTATACATGAACTTGGAATGCGATACAGTTATAAATTTTTGAAAAGGTTTCATACTAATAAGCTAAAATATATTAATCTGCAAATATTAGACAGCATTTAAATGCAAATATTCTGCATTAATAATGGCAATCAATAGTAAGGCAGGCATAATAATAATAATGTTCTTAAATTGGATTAAAAGCTACTGCCATCAAAGAACTGGCTGTAATTTAACCAATTATGAAAATCAAATATAAACTTTTCCCCAACATTATCTAAGCATAAAGCTTTGATAAATAATAAAATTCAAGAGGAGAATAAAGCAGTAAAAATGGAATTTTTCTAAAAATATGCAAAGTTATGAAGCTAAAAACTGAACAGTTAAAGTTAAAAGTTAAGGCTAAAAATATTTCTAAATTAAGTAAATTTAGCGAGAAATAATATGTATTAAAAGATATCTACAGTTTCCTTGCAAAACCTATCATTAAGTTATTAAGCATTCCGTAATAAAATGTGAATTCTTTGAGCATACAAACACTCCACTAGTTAAGAAAATCAAGCACAAGAATTTCTGTTACAAAAGGTTAAAAAAAATTGAAAGGTTTCATATTTTAGATTGCGTTCAAAGAGGCGTTTTTTAGCATTTTGTGTGTTACTTTTATTTATTAAATATCAGGTTCTCCGCACTTAAACCATAAAATTTGGTTCAAGAGCAATATCGCAAAATAATTTTAATAAGTGAGCCTATCTTTAGAATTTCCGATACAGTCTCGCGCGCTGGAGATAAAAATGATCTTTTTCGTACAATATTGCCATTACTCACTTTGAAATCGTTGAGTTTGTTAATGAAAAATTCTCTAAAGTTTTATAAAATATGAAATCGACAATAAAAGAAATTCCAAATTTGAAATTTGGGCTTCCACATGCCCATATTCACAGTAAGATTACGTTATTGAAAACTGGATGGTTCTAGGTACCGATGTGCTATCACAATGCGAGAAACATACATACATTTAGACAGAATCTTCATTATTTAATTTCTTAAAATATAATACAGGGCTCTAATATTTGGTGGCAACAGTTTGAAAAGTGATTTGCCGTTTATAGTGATTCGAGGCAAAATCTCAAAATAAAAACAATTGTCCTTCAGGGGCAAGGCCCCTTTTACTCTCACTCCTACTAACACACATTTTTTTGTCTTTTTTGTTATATTCTTGATCGCCATTTTCTTCGCCATATACAATTCAACAGCAAAATTACAAAAGTTTTAAAAGCCTGCATAGCAGTATAAGTTTAGATTTCGCGATGGAGCATTAATTATTGGCATGAATTTTTTAGTCCGAAATGGGATATTAGTCTCAGGATTTTGCGTCGTCTACTATAAATTGCGAATCACTTTTCAAATAGTTGCTACCAAATATTATCACTCTGTATTATTTCTTAAGAAATTAAATAATGGAGAATCTGCGTATGTGTACGAAGTACGTATGTGTGTTCCTCCCATTGTGAAAAAACGACGGTACCTAGGCCCGTCCAATTTTGAGTAACGAATTCTCCACCCGAACATGTGTACTTGGAAGCCCAAATTTGGAATTTCAAATTTTATATTTCATATTTTGTAAAATTTTCATTAATAAACTCAACGAATTCAAAGCCAGCAGTGGCAACATCGTAAGGAATAAAATTTTTTTATCTCCGCGAGACTGTATGTCGGAAATTCTAAAGGCATACTACTTTTAAATAGTTTGTGATTTTGCCGTTAAATTAAATTTTGTGGGGGCTTAGGTGCGAGAAATGGGAATAAATTAATTATATTTAACAAATAAATTTACAAAATGCTAATAATTAAAATACAAAAAAAGTTTTGCAATCCATCTTACTAATACAACCGGATATTGATATGACAAACTAAGAAAAGACTAAAAGAAAAATTGAAAAATATAGGCGAAATGTATGCCTATGCCTGTTTATGACTTTACTATATTAAAATGCCTGTTTAAAAAAATAAATATTTTTCATACTCTCCACTTGCTATCTTTAATAATATTACAAGTTTTCTATATATGTAAATAATTTTAGGAAAATTACACTAAACATTGTAATATTTTTTGTGTAATGTAATATGAAATGTTTGAAAGAGACGAAGTTCTGCGAGAAAAATAAGATTACGTGATCAAGTCTCTTTCACACCCAGTAAATAGCTATCGCTCTAAATTGGCGAGATATCGCCTAGCTGGAGACGGTTTTTGAGACTCATTTTCGTCGTGAAATTCGGACAGAAATCGCAAATTTCGCCAAACTTGGTAATCATTTGGCGACATTTTGGTCCTGTTCCTGCGTAACTGTAATCGATCCTATATGTAACTGTAACTGTATCCCGCCCTCATATGACTGCCAGTATATTCGAGAAGTATAAGAGAGTAGAGATTTCTCTTCGGCCGGGGGAAAACTATAAAAGACCAGAGAAAGCATCTATTTTTCAGTTCACAGTCGAGTAGGGTGTATTGAGAAATCTCCGTGTGAGCTTCGCTGTTTAGATGCGCTTTGCATTGCATTGTATTTAACGCTCTTAGTAGTTTGAATGTTAACTGCTGATTGTGCTCTGTGATGCTGAGAAGAGCTGTAGGCGTATTTTGTGGAAAGTTTCAGAAATGTGAAGTATTCTTTTCGATAAAATAAATTTTACCAAGGTCATCATCGGTTCTGTGTGCATTCAATTTCTTAGAACCCGTAAGCACGCAGCAATATGTTTATCTTTTCATTGCATATCTGTAGACATTTTGATTACTACTCTTTAATAAATAGTGTCGTATACAGAAGTTTTTGTAAGACATAAATCGCCTATTTATCTAGCAATTTTTGAGCAACTTGTTGCTTAGAAGAGTGATCTCAAACTGTAACTGTATGCGGGCCGAATGCCCGACCTGAAAGCCCCTAAAGGAAAGGACCTTTTTTTTACAAAACTTTATTTCGTAATTATTTTTTTAAAAACAATTATTAAATATTTGTCAAAACATATATAAACAATAATAACAATGATGAAATGAAAAAAATTAAAATTCATACTTATTTTCTGTTTGAAAGCTAAACGCATGTAAGCATGTAAGTCTTGCCTTTAGCTTTCAAAGAGAAATTCCTGTTGGTTAACCTTTGTAATTCTAGTATATTGCTGAGTGGTAAAGTCGTTGAACACTGATAGTTAGGTCCGAGGTTCGAATCCCGCGAACGGACTGGCTGCATGCACGTTTTCTTTTTTTTTCCCCATGTGTAACGTATAAACGAGCCAATTTCCCTTAGAAAGTCCTCCACGAAAGCATTCCTTCCCTTAGGCAGGTAGCCTTATTGGTGCTTTCCTATTATTAAATAAAGCCATACCGAAACTGCCCCGGTTTGAATCCCGGAGAATGCAATAATGTAAATTGCTTGTCTCTTCATAGCAGGTAACACAGTGGTCGCCTTTTAAGTGCCTCCATAATAAAATGACCACCGCTTCTGATCTCAGTAGTGGCCAAAGCCTAAAAAATGGCTAGTGCCCGCCATACAAAAATAAGTTGTTTTAATTTAAATTAAAAATAAACTAACTGAGAAAATTTCCGAAGAGGTATAAAATTTGTGAATAATAATGATAAACAAATCTCCTTTCTTCTATTTATTACATTTTTATAAGCAGGATACAGAAGAAATACATATTTGTGTGTAAATAATTGTAAACTTCTGTTTACTACCTATAAACTTATTTACTACTTACTCCTAATAAACTAAGTATAAATTCTGTTCTTATTACAACTGTCAGCTCCAACACTATATGATGTTTTGATTTTGATAGCTTGTAACTGGAGAAAAATTGTTGGGAGGTACTATCATCACGATTATAGATACTCATCAGCAGCCTGGTTCTATGAGTAATCTGATTCTTTCCTTAGAATTATTAATTTTTAAACTACGGAAAAAATTGTTCATATGTAAATACACTACCAAACAAACAGACTCTTTTTTTACAAAAATGTGTAACTGAAATTTATATTTTGACGAGTACGATGTTTTTTGGGGGGAGTTATGTGATTAAGGCAAAGCCTCGAGGGCTATCTAGCGTAAAGGGACGGATGCCTTCGTGGATAACTTTCTAAAGGAACTTGCTCGCATACACGTTACGCATGGAGAAAACCACGAAAACGCACACGCAGTCAGCCCGTTCGCGGAATTCGAACCTCGGACCGAACTACTAGAGTTCAGCGACTTTACCGCTCGGCCGGTGCTGGGCTCTTGACGAATACGAATAAAATTTAATCAAATTTGTATCTTCAAATCTTCGAATAAGATTTATATCACAGTGTAAATTTGGAGATTTTTTGGGGCGCTTCTCCGATTCATTTTTGGCAATAAAAAAGTGTTAAATTGGAATACTAATCTTAAAAATGATAATTTTTTTCTTCAAATTCTTTTCATAATTATGTTAATTAACTTACAGAAAAATGTATTTTCTCAAACCTCGGCAAATTGCTTTTGGGGCCGGCAGTAGTTAGAGGCCCATTGACTTATATATATATATAAGTCAATGGGCCTCTAACTGTCGGCCCCAAAAGCAATTGATTTATATATATATATAAATGACTTATATATATATATAAGTCAATGGGGAATATCCTTCGTATTTTTCCATTATGTGTCATTACACCAATGGTTTATTTATATTACGTTATATTATGGCTCGATTATTCTGTAATCGTTTGTTTTTGTAAATATATAATTTTACTTTGTTAACTTTTTCTTGAATTTTGCTTTTATTTTTCCATTAAAAATCCATTTTCTTTATAAGTTCGTAGTCAGGATTCGGTAAATTTCATAATTAATATTCACTAATATAGGGTTCAAATAATGGGGTTCATGTATCATAATATAAGTTTAAAATAACGGTGTTTTATAGAAGCAGAAGCGCTATAATAAATTCTGTCTTTTAATATTCGTCTAAACAACTGTATTTATGTTAATTCCTGCATATACATATGAGTAAAAGCTCTTGATAAATATTTACGTCGTGTATGTACATCTAACAAATATATCCTACTTAGGGAATTAAATTTAACTTTCCGAATCAAAACGTTAAAATATAGCACTCAGAACATTCCTACATGAAAAGAAATCATTCTAAATTAGCACGAGTTTAAAATTTTTTTATAAATGCAGTTTAAGTTATTTAAACTTAAAAAATCAGTATGAATAAAGCTTAAATTTAAATAAACTAACACGCCGAAAAATAAATGTTAATGATATTGAAGCAACAAATATCGACATAAGTTGCATAAATTTGCGGGACTAGTTTTGGAGGTTTGAACAGAATCTTCTTCTCCAGCTTTAAAAACTTTAAATCGCTTATTATAAAAAAATTATACCATAATTAGTTTTACATTTTGGCAACAGATGGCGCTAATAGCCTTGCTCCTTACTTTAGATTGTTTCCCAAAATTGTTGGCTATTTTGTTATCGCGTGAGCACATGCTTCTCCTTCGTCATTTGGCTTCTGCAGCTGAAGAAGCAGGCTCTATTTTAACTTTGAAAATATCGATGCAAATTTATGCAACTTACTTTGATTCTTCAACAAAGGATTAAATTTATTTATTTTTCAAGCATTAATTTTAAAAAATAGTCAGAGAGGGGTTTGATTGACTGCCTTACCTCCGTTTTGGACGTGCCTGAGGGTGGAAGATGCCACGGAGGTGGGCATCGTGTAGAAAACCATTCGACGACCCTGAACTGCTGCATAATAAAAGAAAAAAAAATCCTCTTTAATGCTTTTATTTTCATAAGAATTCACATATGCTCAAGTAAAATAGCAGAGGAAAAGAATTTATGGTCAACACTTGCCTTTTAAAAGGCCTGATTTTGCAAATAAAATAAATCAATAAATCTGATCATCCATACGATAAACAGACAATTCTCTTCATGTTATAAGAACTAACACATCCTAAAGAGGAAAATGAAATGTATTTAATGCAAATGTTGAGAAGTATATTAGTAAAACCACTAGTTTAATGGGATATGATGAGCACCAAATGTTTTTCATTCTTTTAATGAGTTTATTGACAGTAAGAGAATTAAAAGTTGGGAAAAATATAATAAACATGATGTGTTTAATGTTTTAATCTGGAGAAGGGTTTGAAATTCAAGTATTCTCTTGACAAGAATTAAATGTTTTATTTCAAGTGGAAAAAAACTCTTCCTCTCACTTTTAAATAATTATTTTCTCAGAACTAGAGTATATTTTTGCAAATATTTATGTATATTTAAATCCTGATGTTTTTTTTTATTGTAGTGTATTGTTTTACTTAGTTATTTGTGCATTTGTTGCTCTTAGGCTAAAAATTTTTGCTTCTATTTTGTGTTTAATCGAATTTGTGGTAGTTCGGTCCGAGTTCCAAATCCCGCGAACGAGCTGGCTGCATGGACGTTTTCGTGATTTTCCCCATGTGTGACGAGTATACGAGTCAGGTTCCATTAGAAAGTCCTCCACAAGGCATCCCTCCGTTAGGCACATAGCCCTCGAGGCTTTGACGTAATCATATAAACCAAACCAAATCAAGAACGCTATATATGGGTAAATTAAATCCTTAAGGATCTTGCTGAATATTTTATCGCCATGTTGGCGACATTTCGCTGTTTCTCACAGCCAATTTACCCAGAAGGTTCCAGACTGCAGTTTCATCGTCCTTTGCAAGAAAGACATGTCTTTGAACGTATAAACGAACTTAAATGGGCTTAAACAGAACGATCGGCATCATCCACAGTATTTATTTATTGCGTGCTAAGGCATTAATACACTAAACGGAAAGAGAGGATGTTGTAAACAAAGAAGTAGAGGGCGCTGCTTGGCAGTAGCGCAACGCATGTAAGTAGAAACGAAATGTCGTTTGATTAGGCAACATGATTTCTGTGAAGGTTGTCCACCTAACAATAGGACAGTTGTAAATATGTAAATATAACGAATAATAAATAGCATTAGAAAACTGAACCATCGGATGTTTTGTGCTAGCTCTACGGGCCGCCATGGATAAATGCAGGTTCGTCACAATGGTGCATCTTACGGAAATGTTTGGATTTGTTAAAGTGAACTTCACGAGGAAGTATGTGTCCAGACCATGCCCTAGGTAAGAGCATGATTATTATTAAATTTTGAACGTGTTTGATTTGAATTTTGATAATTTGCAGTCTTAGGTACATTTGTGTATTAACGCGAAATAATGGCAGAACTAGATAGATTAAAACGAAAGAGAACCGCATTGAGAACGGTAGTATCTAAACTACTAAAGAAAGTCGAGGATAGCTTAGCAAAGAAAGATACAGATGAATTATGCGAAGTGCATGAATTATTAATAGAAAAAGAAAAGTAATTTGAAAGAATTAGACGAGGCAATTCATTCCGTAATTGAGATAGATTCTCTAGAAGCGGATGATGTAGTTAGTTCTGAGGAATATCAGGAAAAATGTTCTCGAGCTATTAAACGAATTAATCGAATGTTGGAAGAGGATAAAATAAGTATTAAAGATCCTGAACAAAACTTGGTTAGACTGCAAAATGTACAAAGTACGGTAAAACTTCCAAAACTAGTTTTAGAGAAATATTCAGGTGATCCTGAAAAATTTACGGAGTTTTGGAACAGTTACGAAAGCACTATAGACAAAAACGAAAGTCTTAGTAAGATAGAAAAATTCGCATACTTGAAAACATTACTTACAGGTGCCGCGAGTAATGTAGTATCTTCATTAGAATTAAATGCAAAAAATTACGATGAGAGTATAAAAACTTTGAAGGATAGATTCGGGAAAAAAGAAATAATAATTAGTCAATTCATGAACAAACTGTTAAATTTAGAACCAGTAAGGAATTCAAATAATATTAAAGCTTTACGTAGGTTATATGATGAAATCGAAATTGCAGTTCGGAATTTGGAAGCGCAAGGAGTTACGAAAGGTTCATTTGGTCAGTTATTAATACCTGTGTTGTTAAAAGCTATTCCAGAAGAGTTCGTTCTGGAATTTAATCGAAGGAAAAACCCAAATGAAGAAATTAATGTTTCAGACTTGTTGGACTTCATAAAGCGGGAAATTGAATGTCGTGAAGCGTCGAGTTTATTGACGCGAGATAAAAGAAATACCTTGCCTCCACGTTTCGAACATGCTAAGTCTGATTATAAAAAAATTCACAGAAATGTACCTACGGCTGCCAGTTTCAATGCTGTTGATAATCGTGCATGCATCTTCTGCGAAAAGTCCCATAATTCATTTTCTTGTGATAAAAGCATTAAAGAAAAAATTGTGTAAGTTACGTACTGAAAATAGATGCTTTATTTGTTTTCGAAAATATCACATTTGGAAATCGTGCAGAATAAAAACTAACTGCTTAAAATGCGGGTTTAAGTCGCATCATGAGTCACTATGTACGAGTAGTTCAAATCGTAACAAAGCGCGAACGGCTTCAAATCAAAACATAAAAGAATTGTGCGAAAGCTCGCGAGACAATTCAGTAGATGAAACACAAAACTCCCCAAAAGAACACACGCTTTCTGTTGTTCCTTGTGATAAATCATTGAATAAAAATGCTTTATTGCAAACCTGTTCAGTGTTAGCTCATTATGACGGAAAGTCAGAGTTAACTAATTTAATTTTCGATTGTGGTGCTACACGAAGTTTTGTTCATATTAGTGTAGTTAAGAAATTAAACTTAAAATTTGTTGGAGAAGAAACATTGTCTATTTATTCTTTCGGAATGAAATACGCAGTACCTAAAACATATAAGGTTGTCGAATTCTGTGTTTCGGATGCGAAGCAAAAGAACAAAATAAAAATCAGCTGTCTCGTCACTGACGCCATAACGGCTGCGCATATGACCACGCCGTCAAAACAAACACTAAAAATGATGAATGAGTGCGGATTGCGAATCGCTTGTTTATGTAAAAGAAGCGTTGGAATTCTAATAGGTGTGGATTATTACTGGAAGATGGTAAGGGGGGGAAAAGATTCAATTAGGAAAGGAAATTTATGCGATTTCTACTATGTTTGGATGGGTCCCAGTTGGCCTTCAAGATAAAGAGAGCGAAATAGTATCTCAAAACACGGCAATAGTAAACCTTTCTTCTTGCGTAACTGATTCATTGAGATCGTTATGGACTTTAGATTTGATGGGCCTTACCGATGACTCAGCGATTTCTAACGAGGTGAGAGAAATGATTCAGAGCTTTGAAAAGGAAATACGGGTAGAAGGTAATAGATACTATGTCAGTTTATTATGGAAATCGGAAGCAGGGCAATTAGAAAATAATTTCGGAGTAGCATTAAGACGATTTGAAAGTCTTAAAAATAGACTTATTAGAAATCCTGAGATTTATCAGCAGTATAAATCCGTAATTGAAGAGCAAATGAAGGAGGGTATAGTTGAGAAGTGTTCACAGGAAATAACGGAGGCATCGTATTTTATGCCGCACAGGGAAATAATAAAACCTAAGGAAACCACAAGGTGTAGGATTGTTTACGACGCGAGCTCTTCTAGAACTAAAGGTGTAAAGTCCTTAAATGATTTTTTAGACATTGGACCTAGTTTGATCCCCGTGGTTTTGGACATAATTTTAAAATTTCGGAAATATGAAATTGCTTTCAGCGGAGATTTAGCTAAGGCCTTTTTAATGATAGGAATCTTAGAAAAGGATAGGGAATATTTAAAATTTCTTTGGTTCGGGACGGGAATAGTGAGGAAAAATATAAAGTTTTAAGGTTTAAACGTCTTCCATTCGGACTTTGCTGTAGTCCAGCAATTTTAGCGATGACGATAAAATTCCACATTAAAAAATATAAAAGCACAAATCCAGAAAGTTATGAAATGTTAGATTCCTCGTTATATGTAGACGATTTATACTACGGTGCAGACACTATTGAAGATGCATGTCGATTATCCTCAGACGCGGTTAAGATTTTTAAAGACGCTGAGATGAATTTGAGAAAATTAAGGTCAAATTCCGAGGAACTTAATTCCTGGTGGATTGGAAAAGGTTATAACATAGAACCAGCTAAAGAGTCAAAATTTTTGGGCATGATCTGGAACTCTGAAGCAGATAAGATCAAGTTGAATTGCGAATTTTTAGGAAATTTATCCCATGACAGTGCTGAGGCCACAAAAAGGACTATTCTCCAAATGGTGGCCAAAGTTTACGATCCAATTGGTGTGTTTCAACCCTTTGTGATGAAAATGAAAATTCTGTTACAAAAAATTTGGACATTAGGTGTGGACTGGGATGATACCCTTCCATTAGAAATAATTAAGGACTGGAGTCGCTGGCAAGCTGAATTAAAGGTGTTGGAGGAGTTTTCTCTTCCGAGAAAATATTTTGGTAGTAGTGAAAAATCTAATGTTAGTCTTCATGTATTTGCTGACGCTAGCCCTAAAGCGTACGGCGCAGTAGCATACTTTAGATACCTTGATTCAGAAAACATTATTTGCACCAGTTTCATTACCGCAAAGGGTCGCGTAGCTCCACTCAAGACTATGACTTTACCTCGTTTGGAGTTGATGGCTGCTTTAGTAGCCGCCAAATTGTCTATGTATTTGACAAAGCTGTTTCCTGAACTGTGTCATCAAAAGTTTCTTTGGAGTGATAGCCAAATAACTATCTACTGGATAAAGGGATGTGCAAGAAACTGGAAACCCTTTGTATCAAACCGAATCAGAGTTTCTGATATTCAGTCACTCACGGATCCTGA